AACGACGGTCGTAGATCCCATCCTCGTTTTATGGGAGATAATTTTACTAAGAATTTAGAACTCGTAAAAGAAATTGAGAAGATAGCTGAAAAGAAAGGAGTTACTGCTAGTCAACTTTGTTTGGCATGGGTTTTGGCTCAGGTATGTTTCGATTCTATACTTAATCAAATAAATGTTAAATTATTTGTATTGTATAGTTGTGAAGTAATGCTCTTATCTTATTTTTGGTCCAAATTAATTTTCATACGCATCCTGAAAAATAATTACGCACTTTGTATAACATGTGTTAGTGGATTTAATATATTTATATCAAGTTCAAAATTTTTGACATAAGCGTCTCGAAATAACGCGCAAGGGTGCATTAATTTGCAACATTACTGTAATTAAAAATCTTTTTAATATTCTGATCTCTGTTAAATTAGGGCGAAAACATCGTTGTAATTCCCGGTACTAAAAAAATTAAATACTTGGAAGAAAATGTTCATGCTTCCAATGTAAAGTTAACCACTGAAGAATTAGCCGAAATTCGAAAAATTATTGATTCGATTGAAATTACCGGAAATAGATACCCTGAAGCCCTTCAAAAGGTAATGTATATTATTTTGAAAACCATTTTTGGATCTTCCACTTTGCATAATACTGCAGTAATCTGGAAATTTTAGTTTCTTAAAAATAACTCGTATATAAATGATGATATTTTTTGTCATTATCAATTTCAAATTCTCCTGAGATAAACCCTTATCTTGTGAAGTGAATATCCAAAAAATTTTAATATTCATTTCATTTTGCACTACTAATTTTATTAACATGTGTACATGTATATTTCATTTTATTAGTATTTGAATATATAAATACATCGTATATCGGAAAATACTAAACTGTATCTGTTAAGATAATTTTGTTCTTGAAATAAATTCAACTTTTTTGATGTTTCGGTTTTGCCCACAGTGACGTGTGGACTAGTTAAATATTATAAAGGTTTGAACTAGTATTAATAATCGAAATTATCTAAAACTATTGTATATCAAATATTTCTAAATTCAACATTCATAATACATTCATTGTATACCGAATTTAGATAATTATATATATTGTGTAATCATGGGATTCACAAAAAAATTTTTATATCACAAATTGATCAAATCCAAAGCAACTAGCCCTATGCGTTGACGAAGTCACGCTAGGGTTATTATCGCGAGGATAACCTGATTTGTGGCTTATATGAAATTGA